TATATGATCTACTACTATATACTAGTATATATATATATATATATATATATATATATATATATATATACATANATTTCATGGGTAAAATAGGAATGTAATTAAGCTTTTAGGTTTCTCTGTCCTATTGTTTGAGAAAAATTTTAGGTTTCTCTATCCATTCCGAGGGATTTCTAATCATTTGTGTTTGTAGAGCTTTTGGGGTAAAATATGAGTAAGTTCTAGGGTATCAGATTCTTATGGGGCAAGTTAATTTTTCTTTATAATTATCTATATTTTTGTAAATAGAGGAAAGCAGTTGAATTGAGTTGAGGTCAAGTGGAAATATTTCTTGGGGTTGACTCCCTTGTAGGACTACATAGTGAATCACATCTCTCAGATGCACGTCGGACTCCTTTGCAGACCTTTGAGAATGGTATATTCTCGTATTTGTTTTTATTTTTTCGTTTTTTTCTTATTTCTTATTTCTGTTTCATGCATCATTTGGTATCATAACCATAGTTACCTGAATCTCTCACTAAAGGTAGCGATTCCAGTTTGGAACCCCAATTAGGTGATTATGTTGAGGACTCTTCACAGAACCCATTTCCATGAAAGTCTGGAATCTCAACTCCTTATTTTTGGAATCTTGATTCACACTTATAGAATCTCATTTCAAATATTAATTGTTTCTCAAATTTACAATTGGTGAATCTCAATTCCATACTTCTTGAAACTGGTTTCCACATCACAATACTTTCGAGTCCAGACTCCTGAACAACAAGTTGTAGATGCAAGAAACATCAAACTAATCAAACATTGAATCTTGTTTCCACTTCATAGAACCTTGATATGTTTTTTTGGAATCGTAATACCATAAAATCATTATACTAATATTCTAGGTGCATAAATATGTGATTTATAATTGGCTGAAATATTTATGGATTTTGATTTGAGTTATTTGGAAATAGAAACTGGAGACAATTATCTTACACGTAATAATGGCAAACATGACTTCTTTTGTAGGGCCTGAGAGTATTAAAATAACATAACTTTCCCTTGCAACGTTAAAAATTGATTACTACATGTCTTCACCCCTAGTATCAAAGGCACATATCCCTCAATATTTACTGGAATTCTGCCATTTCCTTTTTTTTCCTTTTTTTTCAAGGCATCAACTCGAGCTAGACACCCAATCTCAAACTACAAGGTGTAGCCATCTTTTTTGGCATGAATGACCAATAGAAACCAAAGTGGTTGTCCACATTCTGCACTTACTCTTTAAGTAAGCTTTGTATTGATCTAATATGTAATCTCCAACTAATGTCTAATATTTGTCATTATCTATCCATGTGCCTGCTTGATGCTTGATTATAAGGCTGTACAAATCTTGATTGCCAGATGAGTCAAAACTCGAATCTAGACTGCTATGAATCTCGATTCCAAATTGGTATGAATCTCGATTCAAAATGCCTAAGAATCTCGATTTCAAAGATGGCGGAATCTTAATTCCGTAAATGAAGGAATTTCGATTCCATATTGGTCGATTCCAAATAGGTCGGAAACTCAATTCCATAGAGCTAGGAATCTTGATTCCATCTACATAGGGATCTCGATTCCATTTTGGTCGAATCTCTTTACTATAAAATAATAATCTCATTTCTCATGATTCCTCTTGTGCGGATGTCGATTCCGAAAACATGAATCTTTTAGCCACCCACGATTCCGCGATTCCAATCCAAAAACGAGTCGGAATTAAAATCATTTCCAACAACTATGATCATAGCTTTAGAAGATCCCTACATAACAATGTTGTCAAAGATCGCTCCCATGATCGAGGATTTGCTACAAAAGTTCATGGCGAATCTTATTTCAAAATTCAAGGAGATGAATTAGGTTGTGACCAATTTAAGAGATGATTGTCGAGCTTGTGTTAGGTAGGCAGCCAACATAAAACTTTGCCAAATCTAGCTCAAAAAAGGCAAGGGGTAGGCCCAAAAGGACATAGTTAGAAGTAGTGAGAAAAAATATGGGTACTTATAGCCTCACTAAGAGTATGGCGCTTAATAGAACAGAATGACGGGTCAGGATTGGTGTAGCCGACCCTAATTAGTTGGGAAAAGGCTTTGACAATGAACGGGTGTGTGTGGTAGCGGTAGCGGGATTGGAAAACCTTGGATTGACCCATGGCTGAAGCTCCCGACCATGGGGTTGCTGAGATTGTTTGAGAAATATATAATCCACTTTTTAGCATTATCTACACATGCACAATGAGACCCATAGCTTGAAAGTCCCATAAAATTTTTTAGAAAAATGAGATTGGAGAGCTATGATAAGAACCGAACTTAGGAATTGCCCAAGTCCCTAACTAAACGATACACAGTAAGAACCGCCCGATTCTAGACAACCCTGGCAATTCCCTTCTTCAAGACCATTCCAGACTAGGGAGCACCCTAGGTCCAAGCTGACTCAGATGATTCCCAGTTGGCTCACCAGTTTTCAACCACTTGCTCATACCGCGACCATGAAAACGGGAAACAAAAATCGTCTACAAGTGGTCGTTAGCAAGAAATCGACAAAAAGCAAATAAATAACACAAACGTGTTGCTTTCAAAATTCAGAAACTTTTGAAACTTCCCCTAGGGTCAAGATCCCTTCAAACCATGTTGGCACCCCATTTTCAATGGGGTTGCGATCCCCAACCAAAACAAAAAAAATACCTTTTATTCAGGGATCAAGATCCTTATAAGATAGGGATCGAGCTCCCATGATGGGAGGAGCAGGCTCCGCTTGGGCTCCAGCTCCAAGATTGCATGGGGGGAGAGTATCCAAGTGGGATTGCCACCCCCCAACTAAGTTCCCCGTGTCTATGTTTCCGAGTATGGATTGGAAACTTCAAGGAGAAATACATAAATTAAATCAGCAGTCTGAAGAATTAGAGAAATCTTTATGGTGAAGAGGTCGATCACAATCTGGTTAATCAATCATCAAATCTCGATTGCAACATCAACCGAAAACCACCACAAACTCCAATAATCTTTGAACAAATGTTTTATATTTGCAAGCATGTTTGCACCAACTCTTGACTTGTGTGGTGCTAGGAAAACTCTAGAGCGCATGCTCTCACCAAAGAGGGAGCCAGATCGGTAAATCACAACAAAAACATTTTGGAAATCTTTTGAGCTGTAATACCTCTTTACAAAATTACAATGTTAACATTTCCAAAAGAACAGAAAAAACAAATGGTAGCTGTCATATGAAGTACAAACCTTCGAGCACAAAAGAGAAATCAATATTGCAGAGTTTCACTGCAAATTCCACATTAATTGTTTTATTAATTTGTTGGTTGAAATGGAAAAAATACCTAGAGAAATGGTATCACCAACTACTGAAGAGGTCTTTGAACTATATGATCAGCTCAAAAGACTCGAGATTGAGCTTCTCCCAACCTCGGAAGAATGACATAGTTAGGGAATTAGGGTTTCTTTTTTTTCCTCTTGAGGAAATTCTAGTCATTTATATTTGTAGAGATTTTGGGGTTAAATTACGAATGATTAGGGTTTTGGTATAATCTTTTTCTTTGCTAGAGATATTTTTAGTCATTTGTGTTTGTAGAAATTTTAGGGGTAACATAACAAGTAATTAAGGTTTAGGTTTCATCCGAGACAAGTTAGGTATTTATGACTTTTTATATGCTTTTTATAAAGGGAGGAGAGAAGTTGAATTGAGTCTAGGTTTTATGAAAAAGTTACCGTAGGGTGGACTCCCTTGTTAGCATAGAGAGAGGGTCAAATCTCTCAAATGTTAGGTGGACACCCTTATAGACCTTTTTTTTTGGGTAATTCAGTGGGGACACCCTTGTAGACCTATGAGAGGTATATTTCTTTCTCTATCTTTTTCCTACATTTTCCTTCATTGATGTTATTAGAAAATGTTGGCTCTTTGGTCCATGAGTTCCGTTTACCACTTCCTGACGAATAAGGAGACGAGGAGATTGTGCTTTGTGCATTCCTCTGCAAATTCACAGGTCGAAAGCCATCAAGTCTCCAACACCAAGCACAAGTGAAATGACTGATATGTAACAATTGCAGCATTATGTGTCTTTTCTATTTGGAAAACTTGTGGCTATTCAAGAAACTAAACTTCCAACAATAGGAGAAATAGTAGTATATCTTAATGAAAAGAGACCATTAATTGTTGAAAGAAGAGCATGATCCTGACCAACAACTAATTCCAGGAGTTATTTGTGGGGTTCAATTTAATCTCTCCATGTGTTTGAGCATACTGCAATGAGATATGACTTAAATTCTTCGTGCAATAGCCCCACATGATTCAATAACACCCTCCTACAAGAGATGGATAACAATATCTCACCCAATTGTTCCAAAGGCATGCCACAGACTGATATGGATGGAAGGCTTAATATCCCTCATAACTTTTTTCCCAATGAAACGGAGCAATTTTCATTAGGATTTCATTGGTTGGCCATGAGGGTTAGTTATGGATGTTCCAGTTGTCTTATGATCCAGGTAAAGACTGGTTTCATTTGGTTGGGAAGCATTTTATGCATCAAATGAACTAAAAGTAGACATGATTCCACTTTGGTGTATTTCATGGTAATTAGGGATAAGGTATACTCGAAGCACTATTTCATCATTCTCTTACTCATCAAGACTAAGAGGGAAAAAAAAAACTCAAAGAACAAATAGGGAAGCCCATATTTTGGAATACCAATAATGTACAAATATAGGGAAAAAAAGAGAACTAAAAGAATATACCCTCTCTCAAAGGTTAGCAAGGAATTCCACCACCGTTGAGAGATTTGGTCCCGTCAATAAGCCTACAATTAGAGTCACCCCAGAGATCTTTTCCCAAGACCTAACTCAATTCAACTCCTCTCATTTATTTACAACAGCAAACATATTTAAAATGAAAAATCATATAAAGCAAACTTGCCCCAAAAGAAACCTAAACCCTAGTTGCTTATTGTTATCTTACAAGAGGTAAAAACAGGGCAAGTCTGGGTCAGGTCAAACCCAACATAGTAGGGCCCAGGTCTAATCCTAGACTGACCCAATGGGTCTAGGCTCAAACCCACCATGATAGGTCCAGCCTAGACCCAGATCCAACCCACTGCATCCAACTTTCAGGGCCCAACCCAAACTCGAGCAGATAGACCTGGAAAGTTTTGCAACCCTATAGTTCCCCCCCCCCCCCCCCCCCCAAAAAACGAAAAAAAATCTTTTCTAACACAAATGACCAGAATATCCCTAAAATAAAAAAAACTAAATCCTTAACTACATTGAGAACTCCCAAAGAAATTACACCAGAGAAGTTTAAAGCAATGGCAGGTGCACTTCTGCTTACTCAATGGATAACTGCTGAAACAAGTTTTACTCAAACATAAGTATCAAATGTTAAAACACTTGATAAGTTTTGTAAAGGAGCACCTGGTCTGTGGGCTTCCATAACATCTCACTCCTCGTGAGCATTTTTGTACCCCATAACACCCATAACATTTTAACAATATATTGTCAACTTTCACCCAAAAAAAAATACTAGATAAGTCTAATGCCATTAATTGATTCTAAACATTCCAATAACTTAGAAACAAGAAAATCACAAATTTCAGTTCAATGAAATTCCATATATTGAGGCATTCCCAAACTTCTTTTTACAGTTAGCATTTTAAAAGAAGGATTATATGGGTGTCTTTAAAGAACTAAGGTGTTCTAGTCATATTTGTAGAAGAGGTGGATGTTTCGGTCGTTTCTTTTTTTCTGAGCAAAGCTCGACGTACTTTATTATTTATTATGCTGAAAAAGCACCCCAGAAATTTACCATAGACCATGAATGATACTGGTTGAATCACTTAGAGGAATTTTATTGGACACATGCCGTACAAAGTTAAACACCATATTTACTAACTGAGCCTTTAGTCATCCAGAAATTTGGCTTCAGTTTGCTTACTTCGTTAAGGTTCGATATCAAGAAGGAGAGATAATATCTAATGAGGTAAAGCCTTGAGAAGGATTAACAACAAAATCTCCATCCACGATCAACAGGTAAAAAAAAAATAGATCAGAAAATAGAGCATAAAGGGTGGCCGCCATCTTTAAAGAAGAAGGAAGATAAGAAAAAAGAAAAGGAAATTCAAACACTTTTTTTTATTGTTAATTATAACAAAATGTCATTGATGTGAAAAAAATGTGCAAGTATAGGATGCATGGAATCATGTGAGTTAACAATGTAAGATTGTGATTTTAAAGACCCAAAAAGATGGGCAAAATTTTGATCAGCTCGGGTTGGCATGAAAAATCATCATAGTTAGTATAGGCGATTGTAGAGCATAATAAATGACAGACTTGCGAAAACTGTACCCTCGATAAATATTTGAATGTAAGTTTTATGAACATGGTTCTGACTTATAGAAGGAAGGATTGCCAGTAGTATACAGGAAAGGGAGATAACAGTATGGTTCCTTTACGATAGCAATATCCCTGTAGGCTTCAATCCTGTGTGGTAAGCTGATGCTTAACATTGAATTATTAATTATCAATGTGTAACGCATCAAAAACAACAAATAATTTGTTCATATGTACATGGCAATAAAGGGAAAAGATTATGAATATGGATCATCCTACACTAATTACACATACATATGTACGCATTCATCATATGGATTCTAATTGAACCCAATCCTTGAGATGTTTGATATTGAAAGCTATTCACACACAACGGATTACAACAAAAAAGAAAAAAGTAGGTGTTTTCATATTATACCATGCTTATGTAGTAAGAGACAAGGAAAAGAAGGCCAAAATGAAAGCACGTTTACATTTTCATTACATAACAATTACAATGAAAATGAATGAATTCACCATTCTAATGCCACTTTGACAACTTTCCCTCGCTAGTTTTACTAATTACTAATGAACCATAAAGAATCAACAAGCCCCCAAGGTCTATTTTGGAATGCAAGCTTAGTAATAATAGGATGAAATGAGGAAGTAATTAAGATTTATGGTCAAGAAATGCCTAAAAGAGATTGTTTCCGTTATCTAGAGTCGATAATCTAAGAGAATGGAGAGATTGAGGAAGATAGAATTAGAGCTGGATGGACAAAGTCAGGATGTGCATCTGGAGTTTTATGTAATCGCAGCACACCATTGAGACTAAAGGAGAAGTTCTATAGGACAGCTGTAGCACTAGCTATACTTTATGGGATAGAGTGTTGAGTGGTCAAGAAACAACATATCCATAGGATGAGCATAGCTGAGATGAGATAGAATTTGGAATGAATACATACAAGAGAGCTTAGGTGTAGCTTCAATAGGCGACAAGATGCGGGAAAGTAGACTTAGGTAGCCTGATCATGTGCAGCGTAGACTTAATGCAATACCTGTTAGGAGGTGAGATTTGGTTCAAGTGAAAGGCTCTAAGAGAGCTAGGGGAAGACGCAAAAGGACATGGATATAAGTAGTGAGAAAAGATATGATGACTTTTGATCTTACTGAGGGTATGGCCCTTGTTAGAGAAGAATGGAATAACATGATTCATGTAGCCAACCTCAAATAATTGGGATAAGGCTTGGATAATGATGATAACTCAATGACTTCAAATGTTAAAGTTCCCCATACATCCTTTAACACTTTTAAGGCCATTCAAAATGTTTTCGAAAGGCATACAAGCAACCAATAAATCACAATTAATAATTTGCAACATTATTTAAGTGAACAGGTTATACATATTTACCACAGTCTCCATGACTAAGTGGTAAAAGACTAAGGTAGATTAATAACTGCACAATCTTTATACATTGCACAACACAAACATATGCACTATGCATGCCTATAAACATGCATGATGTGCATGCATGTGCGTGTTCACATGTATACTTGCATAAGCAGGCATAAGCAGAACATACCAACGTAAATTGACTTCAACAAATATAAAAATTGTGGAAAATGCAGCCACTTTGTCTGCATGGATTTAAATTTCAGGAATAAAATAACCAATCCAACAACAAAAAACAAAAGCCTTTCAGATGTAAGATGCTCACCAGGTTCAAGATTAAAAGCTGGCCACTCCCTTCTGCTTGCCCCTGGTTCAGTGTGATTCCCGTGAGTCTTAGGATCATTGTCTCTCTGACTGTAAGAGAAAAACTCCCTCGAAGGTCCTGGAAGACCAGTAACTGGTTGCAAGGAATATTGTGTCTTAGAAGTATCTTCACCCTGGATCAATGGACCCAAAATACCAACCGAAGCCAAACCAGTTGCATCCTTATTGCATAAGCCTTCTTTGGGTCCATTTAATTGGATCAAGTTCTGAATGTATGGATTGGAATATGCAAGGCTATCAAGTTTCAAACCATCTTCTTTACAACTTGGTTTTCCACTGCCAAGTGTAAGCTTCACCTCACTCTCAAGATGCATCCCACGATCTTTAAGGGAAGACCCAGTTCCAGAATAAGCATTAAAAGATGCGCCACCTATATTTTCTTCCTTTACATTTTCTTGGTCGTCTATGTCTATATACTCATCAGCTGGAAGACAGAGATCAAAAGTTCTTCTCGGCTTTGTGGCTTTCAACCATGCATTATTTTTCACCATCCCTTCATTATGGACATGCTTTGATACCACCTCTGTGCTACTCTCCATCAAAAATTTCACAGAAGATGGAAGATTGTTAGTACCTGGTATAGATGATCCACTAAAAGAACTTGCGTGTGCCATACCCATGCCAATGATTGGTGTTTTAATTGTTTTTTCTCTCCCCTCTGATGCCATTTGAAAGAATAATGGGTTTGCTTGGGGACCTCCCATCTGTAAAGAATTTTTATTGTTTTCTTTTATCTTAAGGTCTTCCATCAACTCTTTTTGTACTCTGTAGAGGCGGTGCAGTTCGTGGACCTGGAACACAAGAATATGCTCAAAACCAGGTTTTATACTCTCGAAAAAATTTCCATCAAGAAATCGAATCCAGAATTGCATAGGAACAGTTCACCCATGAATCCAACACAATTGAGTAGTTCCGACTTAATGATTAACTAGTTGCCGGTATACATATCATATAAAAATGGAAACAAAATTTTGAATAAGAACAGATATTTCAAAGTAATGAGGAAAAAAAAAGTAAAATTAGAAATACAAGACATGATAGGGAGTCTTGGACATAGGGATCCTTTTTACCCAAAAAAAAAAAAACGAACCGACAAACATTTTCTCCAAATTACAAACATTTCCTCTGCTTTTTATATTCATTATTAAAAAACACATTGGAAACTTAGAAATAACTACAAATGAAGAGCATGCATACTATGCTGCTGAAGGAGCAAACTGTACACCTACTCCCCCAGTCGGAAGACCTACTTGAGAAGATTTTTTTTCAATCTGAAATGTTTAGAACCACCTAAGAATCACTAGATGATTATTTTCAGAAGAAAAAATTTGAATTTTAAGTTTCTAACACTTAAATCTCACCCTTCAAAAATTGGAATGTCTGTGTTCATTCTTGAGACTTTTTTTTTTCTTTCAAGTGGATAGAGTGCAATTTGGAAATTGTTTTATTAAGGTTGGTCTATAGATTGAAGAGGTTACTTCCCCAGAATTTGGAGTCATAAAGTTATTCCTAGATTGGATTTTACCAGAGGGAGTAAATGGACACAGCATACTCCCCCAAGAGTATAAAATTTTGGCACAAATAAAAATATGTCTTTCTTTTTTTTTATAACTACGGCTTAAAGATATTTAATTGATTAACGCACTTTGGTCATTTTCAAATGGGACAAAAAGGGATAAAAAACATTACTACGGCACTTAACAAGGATGCACAATTTTTCTTTTCATATATAATGCACAATTTTTCTTTTCGAATAATTATACCAGACTTGTAGTTGCATACTATTTTCCTCTACCAATAGATACAGTTGCATTCTAGAATTCACTTTAGCTACATAAAATTACCTGCTACAAGAACTAGGAAGAGAGAAAGGACATACCTGATTCCTGAATACGGCTTCATGCTTAAGCATTGTCTGCTTAAGTATTTCTTTGTCATACTCCAGATGTCCATCCATATGTACAGGCCTGAAACCATTATAATAATGCCCTCCCCTTAACATTTTGTCTTCATAAATATGTGACCAAGCATCACTCTTAGCATCTTCATTCAGATCCTTCATTGAGTAATACAGTGGCGCGTAGCTTTTGAATTGTACTTTAGCACCCATGCCTACCGAGTTTGCAATGGCAATAGAAATGAGAACAAATATAGTCTTCAAAGGACCTGGAAGAAGATACTTCATTTTCGACAATATAAACTTTAATCTCTAGAAAAGAATTTGATACAGGATAATATGCTCCAAATTTAGCAACTACGCTATCTAATGAATTTAGAACTTGTCCTCACCAAATACGACAAGCAAACATAGCATTTTTTCAGGTAACTATACTTTTATTTTTGTGATTGACAGATAACTATTTTTGACACGTAACCATTGTGCAAATAAATATATGACAGGGCCCAACACCCTTTTGCCTATTCTTCACTATTGTTTACACCACAGTGAGTATCATTAGGCTGGAATGAAGATAGAGCAACCAATATCCATACTGGAAGTAAATAAATAAATAAAGGAAAAGTAACCCGTCCACATGATGTGGTCGGGTGGCAGGGTGCACAAGCACCCTTCCAATGGTTGAGATTTCGCAAGGCCATATCTAACACCTAATAATTGATTTCCAGTTTTATTTTTTATTTAAATAAAAAATTATCTGAATGTTAGGGCGGGTGCAGTTTTATATTTATAAATAGAACTAAATAAAATTTACTAACAAATCTGTCAAACAAAAAATGACCAAAATACACTTAAATTTATTTTTATCAATATGTTTTATTCAAAATAATTTTTATTATACTTATTAAAGTCTACATAAAAATGAAGCTAAAACCCAAATTTCAGATCAATATCATTTTAAAATATAAATAAAAATAAAAAAACACAATTTATTTTAAGCCCTTGGATGAGGATGGTTAATCTGAACCATTAAAAGGTGATTGTGCACCTTTTGAGCATCCAAAGCATGTGGACACAATACCAACCCAGAAATAAAAGCATACTAAATGTCTTTCAATTTACATAATTGAAAACAATGCAATAAAGGCAAGTCCAAAAATATTTAGATACACTTATATGATAATTAACCCCTAAAAAGCAGCACTTTGCATGGTTTATCGTGCCAGTTCCATTTGAAGTAGGAAAAGTATCACATCAATATCATGTGGACAAGTCGAAGGGTGCACAAGCACCCTTCCAATGGTTGAGATTTCGCAAGGCCATATCTAATAGCCAAAATTCTTTTTATATTTTATTTTTAATTTATATTAAATAAAATATTTATCTGAATTTTGGAGTGTATGATTACTTTTATAAAGAGTGCCAAAAAAATCGTCATTGAAAAATATTTTATTTTGATCAATATTTTTCATCTGAAATATTTTATTATTATTTTCATTTAATTATACTTATAAAAATGAAGCTAAAATCCAAATTTCTTAGTAATAACACTCTTAAAAAAAATTAAAAATAGAAAGCAAAAGTCGTTTTTGGCCCTTGGATAAGGCTTGTTCAATCTGAACCACTAAAAGGTGCTTGTGTACCTTTTAAGTATCCACAACATGTGGACGCAATACCAACCCTTTTAAGTATATGTAAATTCATCTTGTCATGCCATCTTTGCTTTTTCTGTATTGTATATTCTAACCCAAAAGAGAACAAAAAAATCTATACCGCCCTCCCTTTCCTCCCAAGGAAAAACAGGAGAACAGTTTCACATAATAACATCATAGGCACAACTGAGTCAATCAAAATTTGAACTTACACAAACTGTCAACATGAACACACTTAAACCAGGAAACACTAAGAATCAGTAAGTGTTCCCACCAATAGAAATGCTAGTATGTTCATTTACACACAAAGAAGTTTTCTAGCATCTTTTCCCATCAAAAGCGGGACGGAGCCAAGAATCCATGTCGAAGTAGTCATACTTACATGGGTCTCCATATATAATTATGATTCGTTAGAAAGGAATACAAGCTATGCGGAAAATCCTTAGAGGAAACTCACCACCAAATATTACTGGACCAATAGGATGAATACCCAAATAAAAATATTGGAGCACCATGCTAGCTAGCCTATTGGCCAAATAGTTATAGCCTCTATAATTGCAAAGAAAAAAAAAAAGGAGAAAAAAAGAAAAGAAAGAAAAAAAATCTAGACCGTCAATCCCATGGCACTCAGCAATCTCCTCACAATGTGTGATCCCATAGTACTCCTAAAGTTGATCAACACCGAGATGATAAACTACGGCTGCCTTAACATCCTTAAAATCAATATCATATAAAAAACTACAGAGGTCCAAAAGACTAACAATTCAAAGCAACATAAGAAGCATAAAAGGGTAGTTTGGTCCTTTTTACAGATCCAATTGAAGTGCTAGAATTCCATGGAAAACAAAATGAGGAGGGGTCTGAATGATGAAGAGATAACAAGCCGATTAGGTTTTCTGCTAGGGTGTATGAGACATTTATTTCCTACAATAGAGAATGACAAGAGAATATGGGACTAGAAGCGTTCTAGGGTTTATCCAGTAATATCCAAGTCAATTTTAGGAAAATAGTAGGAAGGTCCTAGAGCATCCACAGGGCATTTGTATCCGACACTCCAACTCCCAAAGGGTTATTGTCCAACCCCCAAAGGGTTCTTGGTTTTGGATGGTTGTCAATACTGTGTGAAATTTCACTGGGATCATTCACAGCATTGGACTCCAATCCTATACTTTTTTGCATTATGTTTAAAGTGAGGAAGGAAATGCATTGATCACCTATTACCGAAAAAAATAAAGCATAGATCACCAGCATACTCATTATGCATTTGCAAGGAGAGTTGAATTCATTTCTAGTTTGCGCTTTGGAAGAGCTCGATCAATGCACCATTGACCACTGTCGTTGTCAGATGGTTGTTTGGAAACTGGTCAGTTAAGAGAGACGGTCACCTGGTTAGTTAAGAGTTTGGCAGCATCAGGATGGGTGATCGAACTTGTAAATAGAATGCATTGCTTTCAAGAGAGCAGCCAACCCACATTCCAGACCTCATTGGCACAAGCTTAACTGTGATGACAAATCATTCAAGAATCTGAGTCATGGGAATGGGACACCTGCTATGGGACAAACAAGATGTTAAGACAAAGGCCTTTCATTGGCCCTTAGGACATTTTAACTCTTTATGAGGAATGCTAGGGACATTTTAATTCACGATACATTTGTTGAGCCGCTCACAGAATGTGATTTTCTATCCATGAAGAGATGGAAAGACATTAGGCTGCAGCCCCATGGTTGATTACAGGTGTGATTCAACATAATTTCGAGATAATCAAGCCTTGGAAGTCTTGTTTTATCACATTCCACGTGAGGCCAACAAGTTAGCGACTCAATAGCCAAACGAATAGATGAATTACCAGTGAGAGATCCCTACCCAGATTTCAATTCTGTACTTTCCATAGATGTATTGCACTACTTATATATACTTCTTATGCTGCTTAATTGAATGTTGCTAAGCAAGAAAAAAAGAAACTCAACAAGACAAGCTAGTTTGTAGTCTGCATCACAAATACCCATCTAACTAAAATCATCCATTTTGCTAAACCACATTAAGTTGATGCCTTAGCCTCATCGACCATCAAACCATCATTTACTCAGTGCTTCTTTTCTTTTTCTTGAAGTAATAGTTTGCTCCTTTCTTTTTTTTTCTTGAAGTTATAATTTGCTCCTTTCTATTTTTCCTTTATTTTTTTCCCCGAGTATATGCTTGTATATATGGATTAAGCATTTTCAGTGGCATCCCACCATATACTCCACCTCATTTCTTCCTTGTTTATTTATCACTTGATGGCTATCAAACTGTAGCTTCCCCTTGAACTGAGCACATAGTTGTTTAAACAGTACTCATCTGTAGCTAGACATTGATATTCAAGTCAAGTTGAACTGAAAAGAAAATTTATATTCAGCTCAAACCAAATATCCAATAACTCATCCTGTTAATGTCCCCTAATAGCTCATGCATCACAATCAGATGCATTGACCTCTTTGCATCAACCAACACCTTTATGACTTCAAATCCCATGTTTCCAACCCAAGCAATGCAAATTACTAATTGTGCTAACTTTCAGACTTGAAAACTGCATAGACAGTTGAGATAATCCAGATTATTGGGAATAAACATTCCTGAAAGGCCATTCTCTAAATAATCCAGGAAACTCTTTAAGCATACAATGACATAATTGTAAGTCTATAACCTTGTATCTAATGGAAAACCCTAGATGGTGCAGCAACATATAACATCCAAACCTGAACTTCAACACAAGCCAAACCTACATTTTAGAGTCATGAGAAAAAGCAGAATTTCTAATTTTCCAAGTCCCATATTCACTTTGAGAAGTTAAACAGAGTATGCAAGCCCAATTTAACAACTATGAGAAAGAAAAACACATATAATCCCTATTTAACAACTATAAGCAAGAAAATCACATGCTCCACAAACTCAAGTAAGACCATTCACGCATAAAGAATGGAAACAAAATGCCTAAAAAATTTGAAAATGCAAGCCCATTATAAAGAACATCTTCTTTCTTGCTCTTTCAGTAATTACATGAATAAACAATCTCAGAAGGATAGATGATAGAAACTAAGACCTGAAAAAGTCTCAAATCACAGGGGAAACGAAAAATGACTATAACCCAACAAAATATCAAATAACTGAATATACAATCAAGGAATAAACCTAAACCCCAATTTGCAAGAGAAGAATCTGTACACATCACCACAAACTATAATCTCAGGTAGAACAGAAAAAGGAATAAGAAATGAAGGAAAGAAAAGGGGAAATTTAGTCGAATTGATCAGTGTCCATTATTGAACACATGAAAGCCCCAAAGCCAACTTAGTGATTCTCATCTCCTCAGCCCCATTAAGGAAAAAAAATATCAAAAATCAAAATCTAATCTAACCCCAACAAAAATATTCAGCGGCAATACAGAGAGAGAGAGAGAGAGAGAGATAGGGACGGAGGGAGAAAAATCCCATAACAAAAGTACCCACTAGAGAGAGAGAAAGAGAGTACCTTATGACCACCTTCTCTTGTGTTGCTCATCCTTTGCTAAATCTTCTCCATGGCAAATTTTCATGAAAAGAAAAGCAAAATTTCAAGGGGAAAAAAATGACCCAAGAAGAATTCACAATACATTGACTGTCCATTCAATCTCAGATGAAGCAAAACACAAATCCATTCTCTCACCCATACAAATCCCCAAAAAAAACAATAAGGAGATGGGTTTCACAACCAGTCCAACAAGCATTGCCATGAAGAGAAAGAAGACCAACAACAATGAAAAATAACAATAAAATGAATTAAAATAAGGAAAAACAAAAAGGTATGTGATGGGTTTCAGATGATTTGGGCTGCGGGGATAGGGATTATGGTGTGCTGATGATCTCTGCTGGGCCACTCTGCAAGGGGACCGAGAGATCCTAGGCGAGAGTTAAAACAGTGACATGAGATTTGTCAACATTCGGTCCCTCTAAAACTCTCTCTCTCTCTCTCTCTAACTCTCTTTCTCTCTCTAGGCTCACTCTTCCAAACCTGCTTCTGCAGTGCCTCAATTCATCCTTTTCTGGCCCCTGTTGATGTAGAGAGAGAAAATAAAAAAACCAACTTCAGTTTCTAGATTCTCTCTCTGCCCCAACACGCAGATTCTCTCTCTTTCGCACTTTCTCTCACTACTCGGCTTCCGTTTCTTTGGGGTCGCCCTCCCTCTCTCTCTCTACTGATAACACAATACAAACTCCCTACTTTTCTGCAAAACAATTAATTAACCGCAATCACACAGACGCACATTCTCTCTACTTTCTCTCTCTAAAATCTGAGTTTAATATGAGTTCTCTCTACTTTCTCTCTCTACATTTTATAATATATTATGGGAATTTGTTTTAGATGAACCCCACTCCTAGCGTTGAAGAACTAAGTGAGAATGACCCGAAATACCCTTATCATATTTCTCAATGACTAAACGTCTCCTACTCCCTTTCATCTTTTAATAATAACTATTACCCCCACATCTTTACATTCAGCCTTCCGAGCGTGTATGCTATACTCCCGCGGGATCATACTTTTGGTAAACTTTCTTTATTAGCCTATCTTCTTGGGACTTTTTTTTTTCAATCTCTAGATTTTGAGAACCACCTAAGAATCGCTAGATTATTATTTTTAAAATAAAAATTCGAATTTTAAGCAAAGGCAAAAGTTTATATATGATTGCAACCTTAAAATGTAAAATTAAAGACGCAACCCAAAAATTCACTGGAAAATGTTATTTTGAAAATGTATGAATACAAAATTAGATTTTCAAATGTATGAATACAAAAAAAAGTTTTGAGTTTCAGAAATGGTGCATCTTGCAATACATTATCTGGACCGTCTATTTTCAAAAATTTCATATATTTATAGACCTACTTGATTTTAACCATTTTTGAAATTTGAAATTGTATAATAAGATATGAAAATAGATTTTCAGATAATCTTAAGAATTTTTTATACCAAAATTACGTGTTATGATAAATTTGGACGTATGCCTTACTTGGATTGTTTTAGGTTAATCTTATAAAAAACCACACCCTTTGACAAATAGGTCTCGCCCTATAGTGAGGGTCTCTATTCAAACTTGATACATTATTTTCTTCGAGTGCTTAGAGAATGCAATTCGCAAATTGATGAAGTCTCTATAGTGCCTAGGTTTTATAAAAACAAAATAAATCATCATCTCAAATCTTCAGCTAGAATGAATTTTTGGTATCGGAAATCGTCACGATTGCTCTAATTAATTTTCAACACCGACCATAAATTTTGAAACTCAAAAAATGATACAGATATTATGGATATGTAAATACATTTTTTTAGGGTGAAATGGATAGTCTAGATGATTTGTTATAATATACGCTATTTTTAGTATTTGAAATCCTAATTTTTTTTTGCACAATCATAATATTCAAGCTGAGATGACTATTTAAAGGTTTTTCAACACTTGAATTGCAATTTTTTATGAGTTATGAGGCGAGGCTTTACTTATTTTGATATGTGTGGCGCTATCCAACCATTTTCCTTTGCAAATGATAGTTGTTTTTGGGCTGTGGTTTGTATAGAGCCTAGGCTCTAAACAATCAAATTAGAGTCTACCTTTAAATAGTATCGAAAAATGTGGTTTCAACACTAGAATCTTTGTGATAGCCTTAAAATATATTTTCATCTTTATTTATAAATTTTAAAGCTTAAAAAATGTTGTAAATCGACAGATCTATGAAAATCTTGAAAATTGACAGTCAAAAAATGCATTGCAAAATACATTATTTCCAAAACTTGAAATCAAATTTTTTTCTCATGTCCATGCATCTTGATGTCGAGATGATCAATTTGAGCATTTTTTGACATCAAAACAATCTCGTCTAGTAAAATTTTTGAGGGAGGCTCGAATGTGATTGTTTAGAGCCTCGACTCTATATAAACTTTTCCCTTATTTTTGTTGATGTTACTATAGGGGTTGAAGAGATTAAATTCCCTTGAGGACGCAGTTTCTACAAGGCCTAGGCTTTATGGAAACAAAGTAAAGCCTCACCTTGGATCCTTATTTGGAAAGCACTCGGGGGATCAAAAAATCTCTATGATGGCTCTAAAATTAATTTCATCACCATCTATGAAATTTGAAGCTCAAAATATAGTACATATCTTGTGGATATGTGAACACTTGTTTTTAGGGTGAAATTGATAGTATAGATATTGTGTTAATTAATTTATTAATTTTAGGGCTTGAATTAGTCTTCTGCTTTTTTCCACATTCATAACGGTCAAGGTCAAGATTATTGATTTAAAGGTTTTCGATACCAAAATTACAATATTTTTGATGAGTTTGAGATGAGACTTTAGTTATTTTGATATATCAGCAGCCCTATCGAACCATTTTCCCTCTCTAAAATTACTCCTAGATTCGAGGGATTAAATTGATAGTATACTGCTATAGGAGTATAAAATCTTTTAGCTTTCGATCAATTCATTATGAAAATGTTTACACAAGGTTGAACCATCTAATTTATCATCTTATCATCGCGACCTACAAATATAAGAAAAAGATTTGAAGTCTTAAAAACAACACATTATCTGGGCTATCTATTTTCAAGATTTTCATGTATTTATAGATTTGATTGATATGAACCATTTTCAGAGTTTGAAATATTTAATTAAAGATAAAAAAAATTTAAATCATCCTAAAAAATTTCAACATCAAAATTACATCTTATAAAAAATTTGGAAGTGTGTCTTTATTTTTATTGTTTAAGGTTGCAACCTCGTGCAAACCTCACCCCTTCATCTTTCATTGGATGGAGAGCTGTTATGAAAGAATGCATTTCATCGGCTCATCTTGACCATCAGCTTGGGTACGCAATCTTGAATGGACGGTTGAGATCTATAGAGGTGCAATGCCATACGTGAAAATATAGCCCTCCATCTTGAATGGCCAGTTCTCTCCCTAGTTTGTTTTCCTCTCTCTAGATTGTTTTTGCAAAGGCTAAGATAAACACCCGACCACTAAAATCCAATAAATTCCTCAGCTTTTTATTATGGTGTTGAAATAAGGGAAAGAAACTGTAAAGGAGGGAAAACATCGGCACCTTTGCTAACCCTTTCACTTTCCACTCCCACCTTTTTCTTTTTCTTTTTCAATATTAAAGCTTCTCTCTCTCTAGAGGAGAGAGTTTAGAGAGAGAATTCTCTTTCCTATGGAGAAAATTTAGAGCGAGAGAGAAAATCTTCTCTCTCCTCTAGAGTGAGTTCAACATTCGATATTTCACTCTCCCTCACCCTCTGTGCACCCCTTTCTCTGAAAAAGTTCAACACCTCACTATCTTTCTGCCACCCCGTCTAGAGATGAACATTTCTTTCGCTCTAGACTATAGACATTCTTCCCTCTCTCTCTAGATTTCAAATGATTGTTTAAAAAGGGATTGCATACGGTAAGATAATTTATTTTTGGTCACAATCATACTTAACTGTTAGATTTGAATCCGATGGCCAATAATAGGTCATGTAGTTCAAAAAATATATTTTAAATTATTGTGTGTAGTAGATGGCCAACGTAGCTATTTAATGTTATAAATAACATTTAGAAATGATTGTGACTTTATATGAAAAATTATTACTTTAATAACCTTCTTTTTTGATAAAAAAATCACCAAGTCCACTTAAAGTCTCTTGAGTCTAACCCATGATTGTAGGGGTTTTTATAGAAAGATCTTTGAAATTCAAAAAGAAAGAAGAAGGAATTCTAGCAATTTTTCCTTTTCTTTTTCTTTGTTAGGGGGAATTTCCGCCTCTCCAAGCCCAGCACAAGACTTGCTTAGGCAACTTGCCTGAGAATTGACCCGATCAGGATGCCAAACTAGAATTTCGGATCCTATTCGAATCTAGATAATGATCCAAGAATTGGATCCAGATATGGGTACAAGTGGATCCCATCCAGATCTAATCCATATCCGGATTCAACCAGGTTTTTATAATAGTATATTTTTAGTTTATATACATATATGCATAAATAAATTATAACAATTTTAAATTTTAGGTCTATTTCGGATCCAAATCTAGAACTTATATATAATTTCTGATCTAGATCCAAATATTCAGGATCCAATCATATCCAAATCTAATGTGTAGTATTCGAATCCAAATGTGGATCTGGGTGGATCCAAACCCAATCCAAATTATTCTCACCCCTAAGCACAAGGCTGGGTCTTCCACACTGCTTCGAAGTCAACACTTCACTCTCCCATGCTACAGGGTCCCTCTCTCTCTCTCTCTAAAAGTTCAACACCACTCTTTCTCCTTACTCTCTACAATTCAACATCTCTCGCTCAAATTCATGATTATCATCTTTCTCTCCCTAAATTTCCCCGCCTCTCTATACACCGATGCGGTTACCATGTAGAGCCAACATTGAGAATGGGACAAGGCACAGTGGCTAAGGAGGCCCATGTCTCAACATAACATCCCACCCTCCATTACCATAGTTAAAAATACACATACACACATATATATATATACATCCCACTCTCCATTACCATCATTAAAAAAAAAACACACACACACACACACACATATATATATATATATATATTGAGAAATATTTTAGTGATTAATACTTCGTTTTACATTTTTTTCATGGTTTTTGGAGTATCTCTAAAATACTTATGGACAGAAATTGGTTTATGCAAAATCCATTTTTTCACTAATTTTTAATCTCATTTGAATGCATTTTGTTTAATTATACTTCAAACATACTTTTTTGAGATTTTTTTTAAAAAAATTAACCCTTTTTAACCCAATTGTTTCTACCCAGTTAATTTGGTTACCCAAACCAGTTCCAAGTTACTCGAACCCGGTTCGGCTCATGACCGGATTCTGAGGCCATTCGTGCAATCAAACACTGCTCTCTAATGTTTAACATCTCTCTCTTCACCTTCATCATCTCTCGAAAATTCAAATCTCTGTTCAGCTCCAACCAACAGTAAAGGGGTAAATTTTTGTCAACAATAAACTTCACCAGAGAATTCAAGGAAACATCTCGGATCTTATTGCACAAAGTTGAGGCATTCACCATCGAAGAAAAGAAGAGGATATTATCAACTTCTTGGAAAATTCCACGACGTGTTTCCTTATCTCAAACACCACTTGCTTTTTCGATAAAATCAAAGGGAAGCCAAAAGATATTTTACTCCCTCAGGTTCATACTGTCTATTTATTCTTTCGGGTAAAACTTTATCTAGAATAGTTTTAGTACTTTAAGTTTCGGACATATAATCTCTTTAACATGTAGACTAACCTCG